TTAAGCTTTTCAGTGGAAACCAAGACTTCCACCCGAGCAGAGCAAAATGTAGTAAATATGTAGTGACTTTGCTATATTGTAGTCACTCAGCCTGCCCCTGAGCTGTGTGTTTTTGGTAGTCACTCAACCTCTCTGAGTTGTTTTTCTCTCTTTAGACCTGAGGAGGGGCCTAATAATAGAGATCACAGGTGAGTAGAGTTTGAAAGGCTTTGGACAACCTTGTTCCTTCCTTTCTTCCTTCCTTCCTTCCTTCCTTCCTTCCTTCCTTCCTTCCTTCCTTCCTTCCTTCTTCCCTCCCTCCCTCCCTCCTTCCCTCCCTCTGAATTTTATACCTTATTCTAAATTCATACTTATCCTAAGAGGGGCCCACCAGTGGTGAAACAAATAGCTCTCTAGATTTAAATCCCAGCTTCATCTCTTATTGTCTGTGAGGCCTTGAGTTTGTAAAGGGAACCTTTCTGAGTCTCCAATTCTTCTGTAAAAAGGAGATTAGGCAACCACCGAAGGGCTGTTGTCAGGACAGAATGTTTTGTGCTAAGCATGCAATAGGTGGAGACCCTACTATTAAGATCCAGGAAGACCCATTCATGCTACCAGTCCTGGCTGAGACCCTGCTAAGTGTCAGTTCCCGTGATACTCAGATGATTAAGAACCTTCACGTGTATAGCTCACAGGTTTGGGGGAGCAGGTTTGTAAGCAAATAATTGCATCCTAGTAGATGAGTGCTAGAAGAGGTGTGCTGAAAGTTCTCTGTGGTTGAAGAGGAAGGGGTGTGGCAAGTAGAAGGAAATGGGTACAGATAGGTCTGGGTGGCCCTGAGGCAGGTGGGAGAGGCCCCTGTCTGCAAAGTGGACAGCAAAGTCAAGGACTCAGCTGTACCCTCACCCACCCTCAGGTGGGACTCGGAAATGGCCTGTCTGCACTGAGGCTGGGAGGAGGGCAGACCTTTGTCTTATAAACCAGATAAGATAAAGGCTACACACCCTCCCTGAGCACACACTCAGGCCTGTGTGTGCACGGCCATAGGGCACTGTGGATGCTATGGAGGGTGGGTTTACGAGGCTCAGAGAGACAGGTGGCATAAATGGGATGGGGGAGGGAGGCAGAATGGTGCAGAGAAAAGGGCTCTGAGTTGAGTCTACCATTTAATAGCTAGTGATCTCTGGCTTACCCTAGTCTTTGTTTACTCATCTGAAAAATGGAGAAGAACACATAGTCCTCAAGCAGCAAATGTCAAGATGAGTGAGATGACATGAAAATGCTATTGCATCTCTGGCTGGTTTGGCTTAGTGGATAGAGCATTGGCCTGTGGACTGAAGGGTCCTGGGTTCTATTCTGGTCAAGGGCACATCCTGGGGTTGTGAGCTCATTCCCCAGTAGGGAGTGTGCAGGGGGCAGACAGTCAATGATTCTCTGTCATCATTGATGTTTCTCTCTCTCCCTCTCCCTTCCTCTTTGAAATAAATACATATTTTAAAAAATGCTATTGCAAAGCCAAATGCTGCATATGTTCATGAAAATAGGTTTTTGTCGTATGAAGAATGGATAAATAAAATGTGATAAATCTGCCAAAACTGGTTTGGCTCAGTAGATAGAGCATCAGTCTGCAGACTGAATGGTCTCAGGTTCGATTCCGGTCAAGGGCACGTACCTTGGTTGCGGGCAAATCCCCGGTAGGAGGTGTGCAGGAAGCAGATGATTGATGTTTCTCTCTCATTGATGTTTCTAACTCTCTATCCCTCTCCCTTCCTCTCTGTAAAAAATCAATAAAATATATTTTTTAAAAATGTGATAAATCCATACAATGAAATGTCACTCAACAATAGAAAGAGATGAAGTATAATACATGCTATAACATAAATGAACCTTGAAAACTTGTGCTAAGGCAGTGGTCAGCAAACTGCGGCTCTTGAGCCACATGCGGCTCTTTGGCCCCTTGAGTTTTTAGCAAAGGCCAGCTTAGGAGTACCCTAATTAAGTTAATACAATGTACCTACCTATATCATTTAAGTTTAAAAATTTGGCTCTCGCCGAAACTGGTTTGGCTCAATGAATAGAGTGTCGGCTTGGGGACTGAAAGGTCCCAGGTTCGATTCCAGTCAAGGGCATGCACCTTTGTTGCGGGCATATCCCCAGTAGGAGGTGTGCAAGAGGCAGCTGATCGATGACTCTCTCTCATCGATGTTTCTAACTATCTCTCTCCCTTCCTCTCTGTACAAAATCAATAAAATATTTTAAAAAAAATTTGGCTCTCAAAAGAAATTTCAATCGTTGTACTGTTGATATATGGCTCTGTTGACTAATGAGTTTGCCGACCACTGTGCTAAGGGAAAAAAGCCAGACACAAAAGACCACACGCTATATAATTCCATTGATATGAAATGTCCAAAATAGGCAAATCTGTGGAGACAAACAGTCGATTAGTGGTTGCCAGAAGGAGGAGGCTGGGAGGAAATGGGGAGTGACTGCCGATGGATATGGGTTTCTCTGGAGCGATGAGAATGTTCTAGAATTAGATAGCACTGATGGCACAGCTCTGTGACTATACTGAAAACCACTGGCTTGTATACTTTAAATGGGCGCACTGTCTGATATGTAAATTATATCTCAATAAAGCTCTTTAAACACACACTCACAGAAGCATGCTTGTTTCTTCTCCAGCACCTGTCTTTGTTAAGACACCGTGGCGCAGAGACAAATGAATCATGGTATTATCTAGCATGGGTGAATAATAAGCTATTATCTGTTAGCTTCTTCATTTGTTTACTCACTCTGCAAACACGTACCCTGCCAGGTCCTGGCGAATACAAGCACCAACAGAGCCGTGATCTGAACTGAGGGAGCTCCTGGCTCCTGGTCTGGAGGCGGACAAGCAGAGGTAGGTGGGCAGGCAGAGGGCAAGGGTGCTATGGAGACAGGACATCTATACAGGAGGGGGGGGGAAGGGAGCTGCCACACTCAAAGACTGCAGAGTCAGGGAGGAAGTGTGTGTCCTTGAGTGACAGCATGGAGACCAGGGTGGGCCTGGGACAGAAAAGGTAAATTGGGTCCAGAGCCATTGCGTCAGATTCACGAAGAATGAACAACGTTTGCTGAGTCATGCTAAGAGCCGGCCGTGTGTGCCATTCCAGGGAAGGAGGAGGCGTGGTCCTTGTGCTCAGTCATCATTTGCTGAATGAATAACAAGTTTATAAAGTACGGCTTCTGGGGTCCCAACCCCTGAGATACTGGTTTAAGGAAAGACTCCCCAGGGATTCTCATTTCCGTGGAGTGGAGGGTCCTCAGCAGGAACACTTCCTGGCACTTTGAGAACCACCTGTGGGGCTTCAATGGTGTGGGCTGGGCCCTGGGACCCTGCATTTCTAACTCGCTCCCAGGAGAGGCCGAGCCTATAGCATCTAGTCTGAGGTCAGCTCTCTGCGGCATGCCCCTGCCCCTTCCCACCCCTCCTGGCTACTTGATGCTTCCCACCCGGCACCCAGCTGCTCAGAGCCCTGCTGGGCCTTCACCCCATTTTCCTGCCTGGATGAGCTTCTCCTCCACCTTCACCTAGAAGCCCCCTCCTGCCCCCGCAGCCTCCTCCAGCGTCTTTGCAGCACTTGCAGCCTGTCCTGTGTCCCTCGTGGACATGATCAGATCAGAGACTGGAGGTTGCCCAAGGCCTGGCAACTATTAAGCCTTCAGGAAGTATTTGGGGAGTGAAAAAAAGTGAACCTCACAGGGCAGATAAGATAGGAAGATGCATAATCACCATCCTGATAGCCAACGCTGTTTGCAGTTCCTCTGTGCTAACTCTGTTTTCGGTGCTTCCCGTACATTAAGCCATTTCATTCGCACAACAACCCAGTTTTTCAAGGACCCTTATCCCATTTTACAAACGAGGACACCGAGGCACAGGCAGGTGCGGTAAGTGGCAGAGTCTGGGTTCTGACCAGGCAGCACAAGGCATGACAGTGCTGTCAGAAAAACGCATAGGTGTCATTGGGGAGAGGGGGGACTGGGGATCTCGAAGGATGGGCAGAACTGTCAGAGGAGGTAGGAAAGCAGTGGTGTGGCAGTGGTCAGTTGGTGGAATGGCAAGGTCAGAGTGCAGTGAGCTGCTGTGGCAGAGGAGCAGGGAGAGACACGGCTGCCCAGGAGGCTGCAGACACTTGCTTGGGGCCCAGGATACCAGGTTAGGATTTGGGGTTCACACATAAAGTGCTAGAAAAATTATTGGGCAGGAGAGAGGCAGGATGTGTTCTAGGGTCTTTTGGGGCCAGGGCTGAATCTACTGAGACAGTGCCAAGGAAGAGTGTTTGGTTTTTGCAGCCAGCATACCTGGGTGCAAATCCCAGCCTCCCCATCTATTAGCCAAACAACCTGGATTGAGTTACTTAATATTCTGTGCTTCAGTTTTCTCCTCTGTAAAAGAAGGAGGAGAAAGTGATGATAACAGTAGGGTTGCAGAAAGTAATGAAGCAATACGAATCCTGATGTTATTAGAATCCGAGAAGATCAAGTATGGTCTTAAGCAAATTACTTAACTCATCTGAGCCTCAGTTTCCTCATCTGTGAAATGGGGGAGAATAATAGTACCCACATCAAAGGACTGAGATGAGGATGTAATGAGGCACTGTGTGTTCCACGTGGTTAGTGCCATGCCTGGCACGTAACAAGAGCTCAGTAAGCCTGTGCTGAGCTGATGCTCAGAGCTGGGCTCCAGGACAATCTATCTGAGGCAGAAAATATGGGTGGAAGTGGGAAGAGACAAAATGGGGGGCAGCGTTTGGGAAGCGAAGGTCATGGTCGAGAGTGGAGGTGGGGAGGGTAAGAACCAGAACTGGAGGAGAGTATCTGGAGAAGGAAAGGAAGGCTGGGTGAGGTGGCGGTGAGAGGGGTGAAGGCAATGGGACCAGGGAAGAGGCAGGACAAAGGAGGCCTCTGGGTTTGAGTCTGGGTAGCATGGAGAGGCTAGAAAGGAGAGCAGAGCTGGAAGTCAGGTGTGCATGTTAGAAATAAGGTGAGCCCCCCAAGTCAGGGATTCTGGTAGAATACAAAACACTCAGGAGCCAGGCAGCAAGGCAAACATATTTACTTCCATGTAGAAGGGTGCACACACATGATCTGGAAGCGCGTGCACATCGAGCAGACTGTCTGCTTGGCTTTATAATCCCTGATGCACGTGACCTGTCCTTCGCTCTTGATTGTAGCTCAGGTGCACAGTCTTTCACAATTGGCTAATTCAAAGAAAGGAGTTGGCCTTTGCTGTTTCAAGATGGCTCCCAGGGGAGTTGCCAGCCATGCGGCCAACATGGCGGCTGCCGAGTCACACAGTCCAAAATGGTGGCTGTCTAAACTGTTCTCTGACAGAAAAGATGACTTGTTTATTCTCACATGCAGACAGGTTTGGCAAGAACCGGATGGTGGGGGTAATCACTAGACAGTGAACAATAGGGAACACACTAAGGATCTTCGGTAATAGAACTATAGGTGAGTTAGGTGTTTTTCTTCATGCCTTTAAAATATTTTCTAACGTAAAGAAATAAATATGTATTATTTTATATCTACATTTAAATTTGTAGCCTGTATTTTAATATTTAAATTTGATTTATCTAACTATAGAATATAGTTCTATGAATATAAATTTAAGCAATATAAGGGTTGTTTTTTTAGTGAAAATTGTTTCTCTTCTATCACTATTTTCCAGCAACCCAGTTCTTCTAAAAACAGCCAGTGTTAACTTGCTTCTTGTATATCCTTCCAAAGTTATTCAATATTTAGTCTAGGAGGTATAATTTTAGCATAAAATCATGTGGATTAAAACACAAAGACTGGCTTTAACCGGTTTGGCTCAGCAGATAGAGTGTTGACCTGCGGACTGAAGGGTACCTGGTTTGAGTCATATACCTTGGTTGTGGGCACATCCCCAGCAGGAGGCAACTGATAGATATTTCTAACTCTCTATTCCTCTCCCTTCCTCACTATAAAAAAAATCAATAAAATATATATGTTTTTAAAAAGAGTGAATGTCACATGCACTAAAAGAAAAAATAGGCAAACTGGACTTCATAAAAATGAAAAACTTTTGTGCGTCAGAACAGAGTACCGCCTTACCCGGTTTGGCTCAGTAGATAGAGCATTGGCATGTGGACTGGAGGGTCACAGGTTCAATTCCGGCGGTCAAGGGCACATGTCTGGGTTGTGGGCTCGATCCCAAGTAGGGGGCATGCAGAAGGCAGCCAACCAATGATTCTCTGTCATCATTGATGTTTCTCGCTCTCCTTCTTCCTTCCTCTCTGAAATAATAAAAGAAAGAATATAGTACCAGTAGAGTAAAAAAGTAACTTACAGAATGGAAGAAATGCTTGCAAATCATATATCTGATAAGGGATTAACATTCAGAATATATAGAGAACTTCTAATATTTAATAACTATAAACGAACAACTCAATTCAAAAAATGGGTGAAGGACATTTCTCCAAAGAAGATATACACCCCAATATGCATATGAAAAGATACTCATATCAGTTATCATTAGGGAAATGCAAATCAAAACCATAATGAGCTGAAACCGGTTTGGCTCAGTGGATAGAGCGTCTGCCTATGGACTGAAAGATCCCAGGTTCAATTCCCATCAAGGGCACATATCTTGGTTGTGGGCACATCACCAGTAGGGGATGTGCAGGAGGCTGCTGATCAATGTTTCTCATTGATGTTTCTAACTCTCTATCTCTTTCCCTTCCTCTCTGTAAGAAATCACTAAAAAAAAAAAATTAAAAAAAAACACAACACATACATGCCGAAACCGGTTTGGCTCAGTGGATAGAGCATCGGCCTGCAGACTGAAAAGTCCCAGGTTCGATTCCGGTCAAGGGCATGTACCTTGGTTGAGGGCACATCCCCAATAGGAGGTGTGTAGGAGGCAGCTGGTCGATGTTTCTCTCTCATCGATGTTTCTAACTCTCTATCCCTCTCCCTTCCTCTCTCTAAAAAAAAAAAAAATCAATAAAAAATATTAAAAAACAAAACAAAACAAAACAAAACAAAAAACCTCCATATATACAACAATGAGATACCAATTAAGATGGCTACTATCAAAAACAGAACAAAAGAAACTCCCAGGAAACAGGTGTTGGTGAGGATGTGGAGAAACTGGAACCCTTGTGCACTGTTAATGGGAAGGTAAAATGGTACAGCTGCTATAGAAAACAATATGGTGGTTCCTCAAAAAATAAAAAATAGAACTACTATATGATCCACCTGTTGGTATATACCCAAAAGAATTGAAAGCAGAGTCTCAAAGAGCTATTTGTACACCCATGTTCATAGCAGCGTTATTCCTAATAGCTAAAACATGAAAGCAGCATAAGAGTCCATCAGTGGATGAATGGATAAGCAAAATGTGGTGTATCACATGAGGAAATATTACTCAGCATTAAAAGAAAGGAAATCCTCCCCACTGGTTTGACTCAGTGGATAGAGCATCAGCCTGTGGACTGAAGGGTCCGAGGTTCAATTCCGGTCAAGGGCATGTACCTTGGTTGTGGGCACATCCTCTGAAGGGGGTGTGCAGGAGGCAACTGATCGATATTGCTAACTCTCTAACTTTATCCCTCTCCCTTCCTTTCTGTAAAAAAATCAATAAAATATATTAAAAAGAAAAAGAGGAAATTCTGACATATGCTACAACATGGATGGATCTTGAGGACAATATACTAAGTGAAATAAGCTGTCCGGAAAAAGACAAATACTGTATGATTTCACTTCCGAGGAGCCTGGAGTGGCCAAAGGCACAGAGACAGAAAGCAGAATGGTGGTGTTCAGAGGCTGGGTTAGGACAGGGTTGGAGGAGTAGAAAGTTAGTGTTTAATGGGTCTAGAGTTTCAGTTTTGCAAGATGAAAAGAGTTTTGGAGACGAATGTACTTATTGTTACTGAACCACACACTTAAAAACGGGGATCAAGATGATACATTTTAAGTTATATGTGTATCTTTAGAGATAATACTGCATGTCAGAATGAGGCTGGAGTTGGAGATACGGATTCAGAAGTTACTTAAGTGAATACATAGTTGAAAAGTGGGGGTGTTGGTAGAAGCCCAAGAAAGCATGTACAGACCGAGAAGGAGGAGAAGAGAAGAGAGCTGAAAAGAGGGGCCGTGTGCTGTCCTGGTCAGCACCTGGGGTCTGACGTTCCGCACACGTGGGCTGCACTCCAGCTCTTGCCACGCAGTGGATGCATGCGTTTGGCAAGTCACTTATCTTCTCTGAGCCTCAGCTTCCCCATCTGTAAAATGGACAATAGCCGAAACCAGTGTGGCTCAGTGGATAGAGCATCAGCCTGCAGACTGAAGGGTCCCAGGTTCGATTTCAGTCAAGGGCATGTGCCTTGGTTGTGGGCACATCCCCAGTGGGGGTGTGCAGGAGGCAACTGATCGATGTCTTTCTCTCTCATCGATGTTTCTGGTTCTCTATCCCTCTCCCTTCCTCTCTGTGAAAAATCAATAAAATATTTAAAAAAAAAAAAAAAGAGGAGAATAATATTCAGATCTAACCTCCCAGGGTCATTGCGAGGACTTAATGAGACGATGTTTAAACAAAACACTTGGCATGGTGCCTGCCACATGGTAAAACACACACTACACGTGAGCCTCTGGTAAGGTGATATTTAAAATATTTAACAGCAGGTCTGACACCTGTGCCAGCCAGTGAGAAGAAACACCGCCTTTTAAAAATCCGTGCATTCCAGGTGAATATCCGCCCTGGCTGGCCACGGGGCTGTGAGGCAATCAGGGATGGGAGAACGAGGAAGGTGACCAGTCCCCTTGGGGAGTTTTGAGAAAGCGTGTGTTAGGGGAGGGGATGGCAAGCCGTGTCAAGTGCTGCCCAGCAGGCAAGAGCCGAGCGAGGCATTCAGCGTGCTGACCTCTAAGAGCAGTGTCATGGGCATTAGGGCCGAAGGCCAGTGAGAGCAAGGTGAGGCATCCGAGGGCCTGGAGCCGACTGCTCACTCCCTGGAAAAGTCTGCTGACGAGACGGAGGGAGAATGTGGAATGTGTCCACCATGAGGGCACCATACAGAGTCCTCTGTGCTCCCCCCCTTTCACCTCCCGCCCCCCAGCTCCTGGCAACCACTGATTTAATTAAAAATTTTTTTTTTTTTTTTTTTTTTTTTTTTTTTACTGTCTCCATGATTTTGCCTTTTCCAGAATGTCATAGAGTTGGAAACATAGAATATGTAATATTGTCATCAGACTGGCTTCTTTCACTTAGTTATATGCAGCTAAGGTTCTGCTATGTCCTCATGGCTTGATAGCTCATTTCCTCTTTGCACTGAATAATATTCCATTGTCTGGATGTCCCAGTTTATTTATCCATTCACCCACTGAAAGACATCTAAATATGTATATTAATATATATATATATATATATAATATACATATTTAGATGTCTTTCAGTGGGTGAATTAAAAAAAATAATATATATATATAATATATATATATATATATATATATATATATATATATATTATTTTTTTAATTGATTTCAGAGAAGAAGGGAGAGGGAGAGAAAGATAGAAACATCCCTGTGCAGGTTTTGTGTGGGCATAACTTTTCAGTTTCTTTGGGTAAATACAGGAAGCACAGTTGTTGGATCATATGGTAAGTCTATGTATAGTTCTGTAAGAAGGGACTAAACTGTTTCCCAAGTGGCTGAACCATTTTTTACTCCCACTAGTGCTTCTGTTGCTCACATCCTTGCCAGCATTATGTGTTGTCAGTGTTCTGGATTTTGACCATTCTAATAGGTACGTGGTGGTGTCTTGTTATTTTTTAATTTGTGTTTCTATGGTGACATATGATATGGGTCGCCTCCTGGTCACTAACTCTCTTCAGAGCTACCCCTATCATGGCTTCTGACACTAGAGATTGACCCTTTAGCCACTCCCTACAAGATTGATTTTTGCCTGTCCTAGAACTTCACATCAAATGGAACCATTCAGCATCTCTCTCTCTCTCTCTCTTTTTGTATCTAAATTCTTTCTCTCAACTTTCAATATTTCTGAGATTCACTCATTAAAAGGTAGCTTTAGAAATAGTTTTATTTTACTAATAAAAGCCTAGGTGGTCCTCACGTCATCACGCCTGATGCCCTCATGCCGTCACAAGATGGCTGTGTGCACAGTGGATGTGTGCAGGTGGAGGGGTGAAGGGGGGGGGGCTGGGCTTGCCTCTGCATGTTTCACGGAGCCTGCCTGGGAGTCCTGTCTTCTCCCAGATC